TCACAGGAGACACAAATATCTTTACTCCTTTGACCCATTCAGAGAGATCTATCCACATAACATTTTCCTGTACATCCTTGTTACCAATTTTCCAATCAAGGTATTTCCAAGTCACAGACCATTCAGCCAAACTTTTAGCCACAGCCCAGAATCTGTATATAATTGCACATCTGGCCATTTCTCATTCCATGTAAAGTGAACAGCCATATGCACAGCTCAAAGTTCTGCCCATTGGGAGGATTTCCCTTCACCACTGGAAGTCCCAGAAAAGGGCTGCAGTGCTGCTGCTGTCCACTTTCAAGTGGTGCCTGCATATCATGCAAAACCATCGGTAAACCAGGCATGAGTTTTCTCGTCCTCAGTCAACTGATCATAAGGAACTCCCCATGAGGCCATAGGTGCAGACTGGGAAAGGAAAGATAATGTGACTGGAGTGGAGACCATAGGTGTTTATGCCACTTCCTTCTGATTGTCTGTTGAAATTGAGATTGAGAAAAAGGCATTGGCCAGATCAATAGCTGCATACCAAATACCAGGAGATGTACTAACTTGCCTAAGCAATGAAACCACATCAGGAACAGCAGCTGCAATTGGGGTTACCACCTGATTAAGTTTACAATAATCTACTATCATGCTCCAAGATCCATCTTTCTTTTTGCATAGGCCAAATAGGTGAATTAAATGGGGTTGTGGTAGTAATCACCACCCCTGCATCCTTCAAGTCCTTGATGGTGGCAGTAATCTCTGCAACCGCTCCAGGGATGCAGTCATGCTTTTAGATTAATATTTTTGTAGGTGGAGGCAGTTCTAATGGCTTTCACTTGGCTTTTCCTAGCATAATAGCCCTTACTCCACATGTCAGGGACTCATTGTGGCAATTCTACCAATTTCTCAGTGTATCTATTCCAATTATGCATTCTGGAACTGGGAAAATCACTATGGGATGGGTTCAGGGACATACTGGACCCACTGTGAGATGCACTTTAGCTAAGACTCCATCAATAACTTGACCTCCATATACTCCCCACTCTGCCTGGTGGGCCACAATGATGCCTTGGGTCTCCTGGAATTAGTGTCAGTTCAGAGCCAGTGCCCAGTAATCCCAGAAAAGTCTCATTATTTCCTTTTCCCCAATAAACAGTCACTTTCATAAAAGGCCAAAAATAAAATAGGTCTTTATGGGTGTAGCATACCACCTCCTCAGTCACGCTTTCTATTTCACCTTTGAGGGCTCGCTTGGACTTATCTTAATTATAGGTCTAGCAGCAACAATGGGTGGTTGGGGCAGTTCCTGAGAACATTCAGCAATGTCTTCCATAGCCTTTACCTCAGACAATGGCCCAGCAGGAATAATTGGGTTAATCCTATCAAACCAAGGTGGAAGGGACAATGGTTTTACAGTAATCCTTTCAGATGGGAGGGATTCATCAGAATTTACAGGCTCCATATCCTGATCTTCCTGACTATCTGCTTATATGTCCCCATTCCAGATTTCAGGATCCCATTTTTTCCCAATTAATGCCTTCACTTTAAGTACAGACACCATTCTGGGTTGGCAATTTAATTGGGGTTGTAATTAAGCCCCCCGTACAATAAGACTTTGGTTTAGTTTTTTTGGCAATATCAGCTCTGTTACTAGAAGAAAGGAGCTTTCTTTTAGAGCACAACTGGAAACACTGAGGTTTTTTATGTGGTGCTTAAGCTGTGATTCAGCAGCCTTGAACTCATCTCGCTACTTTGTCTAGTGTTAAGTAGGACCAACCGGCCATCCTCCTTATATGCCTCATGCTGACAACATTGCAGAAAAGTATCAAATATGTGATCACCCAGAGCCTCACTTCTCACAAGTACTTGCTCTGTTTGTGGTGCTATTTTGCATATTAATGTTGCCACCTCATGCCATGGATTAGCAGGGCCCTCTTTACTAATGGAGGCAGGGTCACCAGTGCCTTTAAAATTAATCAAATTGGAGAACCAATTTTGGAAGCCCATCCTTATTGTTTTGTCTCTCTAGAACCACTCCTGGTACCAAATGTATTATACTGGGTTCTCTAGAGAAGCAAAACCAGTAAAGCTTAGAGAGAGAGAGAGAGAGAGAGAGAGAAAGAGAAATTTATCTTAGGAAAATGGCTCACACACTTACAGACCCTGGCAAGTCCCAATTTCTTGGATCAAATGTCAAGCTGTATGCTTTTCCCGACTCATGCAGCTACAGTGGCTGAGGAGCTCAAGGTTGGCAGGCAGTATTCTGGCTGTTGACTCCAACGAATGATGAATCCAAGCTCTCTAGGCTGAATGGTGGATTGTTCGCTCATGGACAGTTGTAGGTAGCGCAACAGAATCCTGATCCACAGAAGAGTGTCTCTTTCCCCGGGATATCCCTAAATATATTGGAAGCAGGCCACACCCCTACGGAAACTGCCTTTCAATGGATTGGCTGCTCAAAACATATATATCTGATCCCATCAAGGGAACAACCTATGTCACAATTGCTTAAACCACACAGAATTGTGGTCCAGCCAAGTTGACACACAGCTCCAACTATCACAGTATCTGTAGATTTTGTATCATTTCTAATTTTTCATTTATTTTGTCAATTTATTCTTGTATTCTCTTTTGAAATTGTTCTAGGGTTTTCTCTGTGTTTCCCTCAATTTTGTCTGTGTTTTCCTTGATCTGTCTGTCTCTCAATCTGTTGACCAAAAGAAAAAATAAATCAGAAACTCTGGAGGTGAGGCCCAGCAATCTGTTTCAACAAGCATGATTCTAATACTGTAAAAGTCTGATAATCACTGATCTAGATCCTTGACTCTTAACCAGAGGTGATTTTTAACTCCCTGGGGATATTTGTCAATGTTTGGAGATATTTTTGATTGAAAAACCTGGAGGGTTATTACTTTTACATTTAATTGTTATAGTTCAGGGGCATGCTGCAAAACATCTTATAATATACAAGGCAGCCTCCACCACAAAGAATTGTCTGGCCCGAATATCAGTACTGCTGCTGTTAATAAATAAATAGGTCATAATTTCCAAACTATAGGGAACCTTGATGGCACAGTGCTTAAAAGCACTCAGCTGCTAACCAAAAGGTCATTGGTTCAAAGTCACCAGGTGGTCTGCAGGAGAAATATGTGGCAGTCTGCTTTTGTAAACATTTACAGCAGTCTACTCTGTCCTGAATGGTTGCTATGAGCCAGAATTGACTTGACAGCAGTAAGTTTGGTTTGGCTTTGGGTTTTCAACTGTGACTCCATTTCTAAGCGAGCTGGAGAACTTAGAAAAAATACTGACTCCAGATCTTGGGCGATGTGGCACAGGAGTGTTAAAAGGTATCCAAGTGATTGTGACACACCACAATTGAAAATCACTTCTTTGGCCAGTGATAATTGCTCTTAGATTTTAATGGATGGATTAGGATGATTCTGAATTTACAGATCAATTTTAGTATCACAAAAATATACAACCAGACTTTATGTGCCTCCTGAAGTGATATAATAGAAAATATAAAACCCTAATTTCTAAAACAATTGTGCCAAAAAATCAAACTTGAACCTGAATAAACTTCTTGGTTTTTACAACTAACCACAAATTTAGAGTAAAAAGAAAAAAAAAAAAAAGAATGCCATGGGGGTGCAATTACCAAAATCTAAATGTAAAAAATACTACAAATGATACGTTTTTTCAATAATTGAATGGCTAGAAGGAAAAAGTTAAAGAGGGGAAATACCTAACCAATATATGCATCTTGTTTAGATCTTGATTTGCAAAAGCAACTGAAAAAATATAATTGTTATGTAATTGGGGAAACTTGAACCCAGATTGGGTATTTTATAATATCAAAGAACTATTGTTTTTTTTTTAAGATTATATACAGAGGGGTCACTGAAAGATTATATTAAAATATATATTAATATATATTATATTAGCATATATTATTGTTATATTGTTGTTGTTGTTAGTTGCCACCTAGTCAGTTCTGACTCATGGTGACCCCATGTGTGCAGAATCTCACTACTCCCTAGGATTTGCAAGGCTGCGACCTTTTGGAAGATGATGAGCAAGCATATCTTCTGAGGAGCCTGTGGGTGGGTTTGAATCTCCAACTTTTTGGTTAGTAGTAGAGAGCTTAACTGTTTGTTCCATCAAGGACCTGCAAGTAAATAACTTTGGAATGTAATTACAATGTTGGAAAAATTGTCAAGACGGTAGCATTTCCAATAGCATCCTCAGTGATTTAAAAAAAAAATATATTGGATTTGGTTAACTTGAAATTCATCTGGCTCATGGAGAAGTTCATCTGGAAGCAAGAGTGAAGTACACTGAGGACTGATAGGAGAGGACTTTGAGTTAGAAGACAGGATAGAGCAGGACAGCGAAATGTGTTCAGATATGTTGTCATGTTTGAGACAGGTAGGTTTGCATGTACTCAAATGGTGAGAAGGACCCAATAGAGAGGGAGATACTGAATTCTTTGAGAAGAAAGGCATGTGCATAAGATTCCTGGATTAAAATAGAGACTGCTGGAGGATGACAGTTTCTTCTTTTTGAACAGCTTTGATGTCCTTAAAACAATCTCCATATTTAAAATGTTTTAAATCTCCAAAACAATTTAGAACTGCAAATATTTATATGCATTTTATTGAAATACTAGTATGTTAAAATACATCTAAAATCATAAGTAAGTACCTAAAGGGACCTAAGTTAAATGAGTAAGGTGACTCTATTCTTAGGTGAGAGGGAGGGAAAGAGAAAGGATGAGAGAATGAGAAGAATAGCAATAGCATATGTTTAAATCAGTTTATTCAGAACAAACTTCTGTTGATTGCTCTTACTGTTATTTTGTCTATTTTTATTTCCAGCTCTATTATCTCATGCCAAAAATATGAGTTTAACTGTTTATTCACAATATTTTCCCAAGTGCTTTTCTCTTTGAAAAACAGAGTTAAAAAATGAAACATGTTAACCTCAGAATTGGCCTTTTTTTTTTTTTTCAACAGAAATGTTCACTATGAAGGTGGTGCTGTTTCTGTTCATGCACGTTCCCTTTGGAGACTAGAGACATTAAGAGTTGCGTAAGTAGAATTTCTAAAGCAAGCTTAATACTCCAAGTTACAAAATAACTGTAGAGTTTTTGACTTGTGTGTCTATGTAAGATGGTCATGCTAACAACAGACAAGCAAATGAAACACTTGAAAGATTGGTGGAGAGTTTATCTCTTCTTTCTTCTTCTTCCTCCTACCTTTACTTATCTCTCATTATTGCACATAGAACAGGTGGTAAACCTGAGAAATATGCAATGATTTTGCACAATCTGCTTTTGTCTCCAACCTGATTTATTTTTGTAACATCATCTCATCCAGACTGTACATCTTCTGGCAGAATGTGCTGCTTGAATAGAGTGATGTAAGATTTGGAACAGGACAAGTTGTTGGCATGTCTGTTGCACATTTAAGGTCTGATGGACCTCAACCTTCTAAAGATACATGTGAAGCAGAGGAAACTTCCACATGAACAACAGTGCAAGAGTCATTACTGACATTCAGTCACTGTCTTTACTACAAATAGCTTAGTAGCTGAATAAGAATCTGGATTACAACACAGAGTCACTGTTTATTCCTTATAATACTAATAGATTGATAGATAGATCTGAAAAACCAAAAAAACAAATCTGCATCTGTTAAGTTATTTCTGACTCACAGTAATCCTATATACAAGAGTAGAAATGCCCCATAGGATTTCTAAGGCAGTAAATCTTTCTTTCTTATATATATATTTGTTGTTGTTGTCGTTACATGCCGTCAAGTCAGACCTGACTCACAGCAACCCCTCCTTAGGTTTCCAAGGCAGTATCACTACAGAAGTACATTGCCCAACCTTCCTT